CTTTTCTTTTCTGGTTGAAGGGGGGAGGTTCGATTATGTCATCATGAGGTTCTGTATTTAATTCAAGTTCTTGCTTTTTAATTCAAGTATTCATTGGTTCTTGTGCATATTCTCATTGGGTGTTAATGTTAAATAGTCTGACAAATTAATTAATGTTGATTTTCCTATTGCTATCCATAGTTCGGTGATCCGTAATTGTCACGAATAATGGTACAAGTATCAATTAGGTTAATATCTTTCTTGGTCAATTGTTTGTGATAGCCTTTGACTAATGTATTGACATGTTTTAACCTAAAGTGAATCGATGGAACAGAATTCGATAATTGCAACTATCTCAATTATTGTTATTTTGGTTTAACTGTTTTCACAAAACTTAATGCTATCACTAATTGATATGGAACCCTATCGTACCGAGTTGATTAGTGATAAGTGTTGATCGGATGTTGGGTTTGGTCAGATGAATTAGGAAAACACAAGGTTTATTATAGCTATCCTAATAAATCTAAGGTTAAATGCTTGAATTGCAAGAGTGCCGAAGTCTACCGATGATCGATGGCCAATTGACAAAACCGAACCCTTGAATCAAAATTCGGTAAGACTGATTTCTATGGTTTGATATTGCTATTGCTTTCTCATTGTTTTAGAAATTTTAATTATTTAATTTTCCCACTCTATTATATTGCGCATTCGGCTAAGAAATTATTCCTTAGCTCCCTATGGGATTCGACCTAGTACAACTATTACTACAAAAATTTTATTGTGGGACTAACATTAATTTTGAGGGCTTCGACAATCCATCAGTGGGACCCAAGCATTGATCTATACATCAGCCACATGGGTTCGACCCACCTCTATTACAAAGCCTAGCCGAATTCACTAGAAAGTCCAGTGAACCCCCTGAGCCCATCACATGGACTCTATGGGCCCAACACTTACACTAAATGGTCCCTAGGTCATGCCATCTTATAAAAACCCAGGGACTGTGGGCAGATGCATGATTAGCCCATCAGGTAGAACCCTAAATGGCCTTACACTCAACCTCTCAGCCCACAATGATCAAACACTGGCCAACAAGAGAGGACCTCTCCCTCGGCTGCAAGGAACAGTGTTGCACTCTCTGCTCACATGGATCCCGGGATTTAAAACCATTTTCAAACATTTTGAAATCGTACATATCTATATATCTTATATATAAATTTTGCAAAACAAAATTCCAACGATTGAAATCAACTGCCGACAGTTTGGTTTCCATCAAAGAGAGTGCATTCCCGGTCATTACCTTTGTCCGACAAAGGGGCTGATCCTGTCAGTATGATCACCCACTCAGATGAATTCTCAAACTATCCCAACATACCCAGGTCTTGACCCCCGCTAAGGATCTCACTAATTGGCATATCAAAGACAGCCCAATCCGACACCCAGTGCAGTATCATAATCGAGTGTAGGGGTCAGGTTTAACTTTCCAGTTTTGCCCATCAATCTCCAAGGTCCAGGGCAATACTGGAAATCTGGTCGGGTTCAATGATTTAAGCAATCCTACACCGCATGTGCTTTGGGTCTCACCCTGGCAGCTGAAACAGGCCACCCTAACACTTGGCAGCACACCAGTGATAGCCTTGGTAGGATAAATCTCCCCAGACTTATCCAACGGCTGTGAACATTCTAAACTAACACGAGTCTTATTAAGTGTCCAGTTTAAGGGTCTTACACAGAAACATACCACACAACATGAATCAAACATGCACTTTATTCATTTACACTAAATGTCAAAAGTACATCAAAAATTGATTGGAGCTAAGGGCATACAAAATTGTCTAACAATATCATTTCGATATTTTGAACCATGGGTGTCAAAGCTAGACCAGGTTTATGTTCAACACAATCTAAATTAAATCAATTTGAATAAGAAACTTGAAAGTGTCTCCCTCGACCGTTTTGTTAAAGTCAAGTGGCGCTCAGTCAATGACCACATATTTAACGGGGCTTTGGTGGTGTTAGTTGATCAAGTAGTAATGCTAAATTGGGATTAACCATGCATGTTATAAACCCCTCGCACACACACAAGCTCCTCAGCCTCAACCTTAATTTGTCAGTTTAAAGGAGCGGGAAAGAGAAAGTGGGCAATTAAAGAAATGAATAAGCTGATAGCCTTTGGTATCTCGCTCCTCCTTGTTGTTGGTACCACCATCAATACTGCCGTCGGACATCATGGATTTTCTGTGGAAGACATTGCCAAGAAAGCAATGTCAGCGACAATGAAAAGTGTCGACGCAATCTGTGCCGCCACTGATTTCAAGGATTCATGCATTAAAACCCTTACCCCCGTAGCCAACAATGCAAGTGCTACCCCTCATGATTACCTCAAGGCCGCCTTTGAGGTCACCGCCCGAGAGGTGCAAATTGTATTGGAAAAGTCAGGSGTSATTGCTAAAGACGCCCACGGCTCCATTGATAAGATGGCAGTCGAGGATTGCAAGGAGTTGTTGCAATTTGCCATHGACGAGCTCCAATCAGCCATATCCATGGTGGGTCACCATGAAAGGCACAAAGCAGCTGATCTGACTGCAGAGCTCAAGAATTGGTTGAGCGCTGTTGTGTCTTATCAAGAGTCATGCATTGATGGATTCGAACACCGAGAGGTGAAGAGATCAATGAGAGATGGACTCCTCAATGCCACTCAGCTTACCAGCAACGCCCTCACCATCATCGGCGAGATGTCTTCAATACTCGAAACCTTAAATATCAACGTCGGCTTCAACATCAAGCCTCGGCACCAACATCACGGACAGCACGGACACCATAGACATCTAAATGCAGATGGCTACCCTACTTGGTTTGCACCATCGGACCGTAAGCTTTTAGCTTTGCAAGACAATGGACGACTGGCGCCTAGTGCAGTGGTGGCCAAAGATGGTAGTGGGCAGTACAAGACAATTGCTGAAGCAATTGCCGCATACCCCAAGAATAGTGCTTCTAGATATGTTATATATGTGAAAGCCGGGACCTACGACGAGTGCATTACAATCACAAAAGAGAAGACTAATATTTTGATGTATGGAGATGGGCCAACCAGTACAATCATCACTGGACACAAGAGCAACCGTGATGGCATCACAACATTTCAGACTGCCTCGTTCTGTAAGCAGGATCCAATCAACYTAATATTCCTTTCTCCTTTAGTTCCTTTTTACTTGACTCTAATAAGTTTGTTTTTCATAAATTTCTATTCCTCTYGTAGCTGTTATTGGAGATGGATTCATCGGCAAGTCGATTGGATTTGAAAACACAGCYGGTCCAGAAGGGCATCAGGCAGTGGCGCTTCG